GGTAAGTGCAACTGAGAAGCTACTTTGTAGCATCAACTGCTAGACTGAGTTGCTCTCCCCCCCAAGGGAGAAAGGCCTAACCTTTTGTAATCAGGTTTCATGGCAAACAAATTTGTTTCAAGGGCGACTCACGCCAAACCCCAGCCATGTAGCAAAGGGGGTCCGGGAGCCTTCTTCCACCCCGCCGAAAGCAAGCCGCGAGTGGCAAAGGCCCCCTGCAAAGTCACCCGTGCCTTAGTCGCGGACAATGCAACCCCACTTGACAGCACGTTGGGCAACAAAGGGGCCTCCAGCATAGGGTTGGTTCGGCGATACAGCTATGAATCTTAATAGGGAGACACACTGGAAGTGGTTGGTGACATGAACCCTCACCTACATGATGCCGATCAAAGGGCGCCCCTTTAAAAATCACGACTGTATCAAGCAAGTCTCAATCAAATGGGCTGGGCAAGTCCAGGATTGTTTGAAGGCCTTGATTAAAGGGGCAGGGGTGCCAATCCCAACTCCAAATCGGGGATTTCCTCAAGGGGCACAGGAGTTGATTTCAAAGCAATGGCAAGTCTTGGGAAACGTGCGTTGCATTTCTCAATGAGGGGACACCTCAAGCCTGGTTTGTGGTTGCATAAATTCCAATGTGAATGATGTCCATCCAAGGGTGCAAATCTGGGGGGTTGTCGTCCTTTGGCACTTCAGTCATGAAGTAAATGGGGCAAAAACAGCAATTTAAAGCCAGCAAAGAAAAAATGATCCGGCACATGGGCGGCGTGATGTTCTATAAGTAGGGTGCGAACAGGGATGCCCCTGCCCGACCACAGTCTTTGGAATGGGCAGGTTCTTTCCCCTTCGAAAAGTTGTGAACTTGTTGCAAAAACTTCCAGTCCAAGCATCCAAGTTGCGACACCTGAACCTATCGACGGAAGAAGTCTGCCCAAAACGCAGGAACACAAACCGGGTAATCTCTGGACATGCCTCAGGGCTGTGGCCAAACCCGAGGCCTGAGCCGGCAAAGCCACCGCGTTGGCGCCCTGCACTAGCTGAGAGCCCACCGCCTGCCCGAATGGCTGCTGAAACTTCCGTGTTGTCGTTTCCCTCGCAACCTAGGGCTTCCATTTTGCTTCGTTAAGTGGCCATGGGTCAAAATCCCGTACCTTTCTGTGAACATGCCAATCCCCACTAAAATCGACTAAAATGGGTGGTGCACCTACCCCAGAATGGTACCATTGGTTTTGACCCACAGCCAAGTGGGTAAATGCTCATCCCCTGCTTGCTCTCCGCCTTGTGGTTTTGCATCCAGTACCAAAAATGGCTGCGCCGTCCGAGCTGGATCCCCCCAAACCCCCCCCCCCCCCCCGCCTGCGTCCAGGTGGCCGCCGACTCTGGGGTTACAGGCTCCTGAAAACGGGCGGGTTGACTTTTTGTGATACCTCCCCGTTGCAAGGCCCCAGCAGGGAACTCTTGTTGGGGAGTTGACGATTTGCAGGGCTGATTCTCATGACTACTTTCTCAGTTTATTGGATAATGATACTTTTCGATGCCAGTTGTCCATATTTGAACACTTTGAAGGGGCTTGCCCCAGAAAGTAAGCGTTCCCTATATTTCCAAGCTAAGAACACCAAGGGAAACTCACCTTAAATGGCCCCGCCAAAACAGGGCATGCAAGCACCGCAGAAAGTCGCAACTAAAAAGAGCATGTGTGTTTCCCACATGGGCGTGTCATTAGTTCAACTCCAAAAAGACACAAAAGGTGGACCGCAATTTTTGGGGGGCTTCCCTATTTTGATGAGTCTTGTGCTTTCCCCATATGGTTGGTAGAGGTAGATCCCCGCCAACATGATGTCCGCCAAGGGTCCCCAAAGCAAGTGCACAGTCAAAAATACTTCCTCCAAAACTTTGGAAGTTTCGAGTCCCCTGGATTCTGTAGAGAAATTTAGAGCCGTCATTGTGACCGAACCCCATCTGAGATTGCATAGGGGCTATGGGGCGCGGCCATTGGGGAATGTGAGGTAAAGGCAGGCAAACCAACAGGGTCACCTGAGAAAACCAACCAGGCAAAAGGGCAAAACGGCAACAAGGCGAGCCAACTTGGCCCACATTTGGGGTACACAAAAAATCAGAGTCCTGCAGATTCTGCCCATTTAGCCAGCCCTACCACATAACACAGTTTTGAAGGAGACCCCCAATTAAGTTGGCAACGCCTGCGGGATTGCTCCTGCGTGAGCTGCCGGGTGGCACTGGAGATCTCCTCCTTGGCGATGCTCGGCGTGAAGCCTCTGGCGGGGCCGCCGGCGAATTTCTGGTTGGGGGGGTTGAACCTCCACGGGCGAACCTCAATTTAAGGCCTGACGTCGAGGAAATTTCGAGGGTTGGGGTTGGGGAGGTGGGGATCCACCTTACAGATGTACAAGGCGTCAAATTATGGATTTGGACCATTTAGAATGGATGTCTTGCCTTTGAACCGTTTTTGAGATAAGGCAGTAGTAAGTCTTATTTGGGGAGGCGGATGCTATGATGCCAGAAACCCTGGGTGTTTAATGCGATTTCCATGTCAGGGAACCTGAAGCAATTATTCACACAATTAAAACGGATCCCCTGCAACCACTTTGGAGGGGGTGCCCAATTCAACTTCATTGCCACATGAAATTCTGGAACTAAAACATCAGCACTTGGCCACACAACCCTGGCAACTGCGTGAACTACAGCCGTTCGATTGGAACTCGTGTGGAGTCCAATCAGTTGCACCCTTACAAGGTCTTGAGCCCAATAATTTATCCTCTTCTCAGCATCAAGCCCAAACAAAGGATGGAGCCGCTACTTGGTAGGCCCCATTTTGTCATCAGTCCTTACCCAGTGCCCATTGTGTGACCCATGAAAAGCAACGGCGGACAAGCGAGTGACGCGCCTTCCGGCGCGATCTTCAACTGCACCTGCTGGCACGCCTTGGGCGCGGAGGGTCCCACCCCCCAATCCAAAAAATGGTTTGACACCATCCACAAGGTGGAAAGGAGTGGCATCCCGCAAATCATGGAGTTGCTTGTGGCTTCCCTTCGCCCAACTGTAAGATCAGTTTCCCCGTAAATTGTGGTTTGGAGTTTAGGGTGGCTTCCCATTTACCAGTTCTGCAATGCCAGTGTGGGATTCACTGCCCTATAACCTATGACTACTTTGTCACCTTTTCGGCCTTCCTTGGTGTCGCAGAAAATGGGCCTAAAACCCTACTTCACGCAACCATGTAGAAAGAATCCACCCCCACCCTTCAGGGGGGTAGCTTCCCATTTACGCTCAAGGAGAGTGAGGCCTGATTCACAGGCTTGGAGCAACCCTGAAAAAAACCCTCGCAATCCCTCGCACCTTCCCCCGTCACTCAGCTCCTGCCGTGAGTTCCATGTGAGAACTTGGCTGCGGAACTGCTTGACACTGGAGAAAGTTGGTCCCGGGCAATGGAAACAATATACTCTTGTGGTTTGGACCTTTTGGGGTTCGGAGCACGCTGATCCTTTGACAAATTTGTGAGGCTCAAGACATGAGTCAATCTTCGCCCGCGCGCTGCGTTGCGGTTGCGCATTGGGGTGGCTGAGCTTCTGGCCAGAAGGGCTGCCAGGACAGCGCTCAGGCCCAGCAAGGCTTTGCCATCTTTTACCATGGCCAAAGCCCCAAACAGGCGCAAGCCAAACGCCAGAATACGCCAGACCGCTATGCTATCATACACCTAATGACCATTTCAGACTCATTCTTCATTTGATTTGATGAGAGATGCTGAGAGTGTCGTCAGCCATGGCCAAACGCAAAGCTTCCATAAGAGCGTTGGTTCATGGAGTCTTTGCTCTGTCTTACAGACGTTGCGGCTTGAGCAGCGTTCGCCAGGTTTGGTATGATGATGGAGGTTCGCCAATCTCCTCGGCAAATCCTTGCAAAAAGTGAACAGGTTTGGACGTGGCACCTGGGAAGCAAAAGTTTGTTTGTCCGGCCCGCCCCTTTGGTCGTCTCTCCAGAGTTCCCTCACCAATGTAAGCCGCCTGGGGGCATGTATTTGGGCCCTCGGCGTGGAACTTTCAGAGCCCCAGGCCTTTTTGATTTCTGTCTGTTTGAACGCTCTCTTCGCTCCGGTTACATGGCTCAACATTAACTGGCTGAGGGAAAAGACTCGACACAAAGGCCCGTGATACTTGGGTTCTGGAACCGGGCCTGGCCAGGCTCGCAAATAGGCGCCGCTTAAAGCTGCGTCACTTGGATTTTAAAAAGCGCTAGGTCATTCAAAAGGAACTCAAACTTGAGAGGAGGCGAATTAAAGCTAGCAGAATCTCTTTGTGCTGCACAGCGAAAGGCCATGGAAACACCTAAAAGAGGTTTTAAAGAGGTGTCCAACAAGCTGGTTTTCATGCACTTCCGAAGCTGTTCTCTGGACACCCCGTTGAATGAAAGACTGGAGTGAACCGCTTCTGTTCTTGAGGTTCGGGACTAGGGAAAGACTTGACAATGAAGGGCAATTCTGGGTTCATAGAATCAACAGGCTGATCTTCACGCTCTTCCAAAAACATTCTCTGGACACCTTATTGAAAGGAGGGCTGTAGCAATCAAATTGAGGTTAGAGATTAGCGAAACGCTTGACAATGCAGAGGAGTTCTTAAAGCGGCTGCAAACTTCACCTGCCAACTTCTCATGCCAACTTGCTGAGGAGTTATTTCACCTGGCAACTTCTCATACCAACTTTTCGAGAGTCACTTCACCTGCAAACATCTCATGCCAACTTTTGAGAGTTATTTCACCTGCTAACTTCTCATGTCAACTTCACCTGCCAACTTCCCCTGCCAAGAGTTCTGTCACCTGCCAACTTCTCATGCCAACTTTTCGATAGTTACTTCACCAGCCAACTTCTCGTGTCAACTTTGTGGGTGTTATCTCATTAAAATCACAAGCTAACTTTTCGGGTGTTACTTCACTACCCTAAAAACACAAGCTAACTTTTCTTTTGTACCTTCACTTCTCGACTCTTATTTTTTCTTGGCGGGGGTAGGCCCGACGGGAGCTTACAAAACGTACCCCTCTGCGGAGATCGTGCGTGCTGAACGCTCTGGCTGCGGCGCCGTGCGAATTTGTCTTGACCGCCGCGAACCCTCTGCGGAGATCGTGCGTGTCGAAGCGCTCTCGCTGTGGCGCCGTGCGAGTTTGTCTTGAGCTCGGCGAACCCTCTGCGGAGATCGTGCGCGTCGAAGCACTCTCGCTGTGGAGCCGTGCGAGGTTGTCTTGAGCTCGGCGAACCCTCTGCGGAGATCGCGCGTGTCGAAACGCTCTCGTGCGAATTTGTCTTGCCTGACCTCGGCGAACCCTGCGGAGATCGTGCGTCTCGAAGCTCTCGCTGTGGCGCCGTGCGGACGTTCTTGCTTTCGCTGCTTGCGAACGGTCTTTGAAAGTTGTCTCGCGGTTTGGGCGGTTTGCGCACCTGCTTTCGCAATCGCGGCGTCGCGGGTTCGCTTTCCCCCTGGTCCGCGCCAGCTCCGGCTCAAGACTATCAAGTCTCAAGTACCAAACTATAGTACGGAAACTGTGCTCCCGCACCTCTGGCTGGAAAATGGAAACTTTGGAGCACAAAAGTACCACGCAAAGTGCGTTCCCGCAGCTGAACTCGCAAGTTTCAAGTATACACAAGCAGCACGCGAAGAGCATTGCAGCTCAGGATCTGCAAAATCGCAATTTTTAAGTACAAATGTCGTACACGAAGCGCACTCCCGCAGCTCCCGCTGCACAATCGCACCTTTTACGTGCAAAAGTAGTACGCGAAGCGCACTCCCGCAGCTCCTGCTCGAAAATCGCAGCTTCTAAGTACAAAAGTAGTACGCGAAACGCATTCCCGCAGTTCCGGCTAAAAACGCAAGTTTCAAGCACGCAAGCAGCACGCGAAGAGCATTCACGCAGCTCCGGATGAACTTTAGTGAGTACGAAAGTAGTACGCAAAGTGCACTCTCATGGCTCTGGCGCTCAGGAATTATTGCAACTCTTAAGTGCAAAAGTTGTGCGCGAGTGCAATCCCGCAGCTCCGGCTGAAGCATCTCTAAGTCTCTACACGCAAAGGTCGTGCGCGAAGTGCGCTCTCGCAAGCCCCAGCTCGAAAATCACAGGTTTTCAGCGCAGAAGTAATGTTCGGAGAGCGCGCTCCACCATGTCCAGCTCGCAAATTGCAACTGCAAACAAAAGAAACACCCAGTTGCACTTACGCATCTCCAACTGCAAACGTAGTGTGCGAGGTGCACTTCCGTAGCTAAGACAGCCAGCCTTCTTGCGCAGCCAAACTGCGCACTGACTTGGACAAGAGAGATTGACAAAAGAAACAGGCACAAAGAGTGGACAAGAGGTGTTGTAGAGCATCGTGGGCAACATCACGCACAGCGTCACGCGCAGCATGATTTGCAACATCATGCGCGGCATCACGCACGGCACCACGCACAGCTTCGCACACAGCATCAACTCACAACATCGCGCGCAACAGAAACTGACACGAGAAATTGCGAAGAATGATGGTAAGCTTGCTCATCAGAACTTGCAGAGGCTAGGCTTGAGCAGGGACATTGACGTCCTTGTTTCTCATGAGGTGGGGGAGGCGTCAGAGGTGATCTAACGTGTTGCTTTGCTTCCGGGCCACCCGTCGTCTTTTCTAGGTGTCCAACATGCGTTAGAAGCCCTTCCGAAAAGAATGTCTGGACACAGCGCGTTCCAGCTTGCAGACTCATACGGACCGTTCACCACGCATGTCTATAATCATCCGTACTGTGGACAGCAGGGACTTCCATAGTCAACATCGGCATATTGGATTCTCCTCGGCAAAGATCCAGCAAAGAGACCGCAGGTGCCTGTAAAGGCACCCGCGGTTTGGGACTCAATTGTGGTAGCTGAGAAGGATTTTTCGAAGAGATCTTCCAAGATGTCATCTGGAGAAGGCTTCGTGGAGACATAGTGCAGGCCGACCGTCCGGCATCAATGATGGGCCCCCCCCTGAATCCAGCGCGTTACGGTTTTGAGGGGGGGTCAAGCTGCATGATGTATCGGACCTTTGCGCCCCCGACCCTCATTTCCAATGATAAATCAGACCCTTTTCTGATCGGCGGAGACTTTGACCCACTGCTCAGCAGAGCTGAGGTAAACGAGACTCCAGCTTAGCTCCACGGAGCTAGCTTTCGTGACGATGCGTTTGTTACTCAAGAAAATTCAGCAAAGATTCCGCATGTGTCAAAGTGCGGGTTCATCCAACTAGCCAACAGCCAGCCGAACAATTAAGAACTAAGATCAGGAGCTCTCAGTCGGGGGTTGCTGTTTGACTCATAATTACTTGACAGCTTGCAAAAGGCGCAGGCAAAGTTCAGCTCTGGAAAACCTACTATATACCATTGCTATAAATCTGAAACAACCTGTTACTGCACGCGTCAGCATGCGTGTGTACATGTGTAGTTTTGAGACAACTCTAGCGTTGCGCGCGTCTGTTCCTCTTCTGCCTGTCTCGTTCTCTTTCCCCTGCTCTCTGTCTCTCTCGCTTTCTCTTTCTCTTTCTCTTTCTCCTCTCGTGATCTTGACCCCTGTCTTGCTCTTTCTCAGTCTCCGTCTCCGTCTCCTTGTCCTTAGCTCCGTCTCCTGTCTTTCTCTCTCTATATTTCTTGCTTTCTTTCTTTCTTTCTTTCCTTCCTTCCTTCTTTCTGTGTTCTTCTTCTCTTTCTCATTCTCAATTTCACTTTCACATTCACTTTCTGTTGGTTTCTCTCTTCTCTTTCTCCCCCGCGCGCCTACGCAAACTCCTTCGCATTTTCTTTTTCTCCTTCTCCTTCCGTTCTCCTTTCTCTTTCTCGTTGTCGCTCTCGGTCTTCTTCTCCTTCTCCTTCTCCTTCTCCCTTTCTTTCTCTCACTGCTCTCTTCACACCACGACAGTGAAAACTGCATACAACTTTGAAGTTGTGAGGTTTGGCAGGTCAACCCCCGAAACTCCACCGCGAACAAAGTTTTCAGGCAAACGACCACGAGTTATTTCTGCAGGCGCGCCCCCTAAAGCCCGCAGAAGGTTGCGCAGCGCAAGAACAACGAGCTGGTGAAGACCAACCTCGCGAAAGTCCGCAGACCGTTTACCACTCCATCGGGCGTCGTGTTCGAGGTGGTTGCTACACACCGGAAGAAGAGCCGATTCACGCGCAGGCCACAGTCTCTGCTTGATTCCATTCGCATTATCCATGCTTTGCAATTCAAACATCATCTTGACTTAAAGTCACAATAGTGCAGCAATTTTCTGCCAGCTGCTATTTTCAACGGTTCATCCTCACCAGATAACCGAACATGTTGCCATACCTTATTTTAAACTAAGCTAATTTCCAAAGCATTCTAAAGCCACGTAAGAACAAACAATGGTCCAACAACCAGCAGGACAGGAGCCTGCTTGCGTGCAATATTGCTAATTCTGGATGCGATGTTCACATCTTTGTGCGCGTGCGAAATTATACATATCGTTGCCTTTCTGAGCGTCTAAGCTGTGAGCCACCTTGCAAGCCGGCAGTTCGCATTGCTGAGTGTGCAAGCACCATCACTTTTCTTCGCGGCTACTTGAGCGGCCCCATGATAAATGCCTCGCGCAAGCTCCAACCCAACAGTATCGCGACCAGACTGGTCACACAAACACACAATCATGAAATGAAGCCCCGCCGCCGTTGCAATTTGCAACTAGGCGGCCGCAATTGACTTTGCAATGGAGTCGGCTTCCTGCCAGCAAATGGCTGCTTTTGGAGTGACACCTTCAGCAAGTGCTGCAAGTGCTGCAAACCCAAACTTAGACAAGTCCACCTCGCGGCCACCAGAGCTTGGAATCAGTTTGTGGCCATCGCTGTGCGATAAGCCCGTTGGATTTTCATACCTGCGCCAATTCCAAAGTGAAGCAGCCCAGGTTCCAGCATCAAGAAGTGAGACCTGCTTTGCTGCAAGCGAGCTGCAGCTCGAGCAGTGGAAGCATAGGATTGGTGTCCTTTTCGCCGCTGATATGCAAACTTCCTCAGCTGTCAGTAGGTAAGAATTGCGCTTGGTTGTTGGCGCGGGGCCAGGACTCATGGGCAGCTTGGCCGGGAACAGGTCAGGACGCTGATTGACCCAACCAGGTCCTCACAAGCCCGCGTGCTTCAACATGCATTGTTGCCCCACGCTTAACCTACAAAAGAGTCGTGTTAAATCACATCAATTGCACAAGTGCAAATTACATTGGCTACGTGCTTTTACGGTGAACGCCGCGCCCTGCTGCGCAGCTAGCTGCTTTTGCCCCTCTCCTATGTGAAAGCAAGGCTTTAGCTGACACTGCAAACAAATGGTGACTTTCCGTGCTTCCCCCCGGCCAAGCTTTTCTGGCGGTGAGTTTTGAGTTCGAACGCCTGCTGCAAGAATGCAAATTACATTGGCCACGCGCCTCCACGCTGCGCGCGCCGCTTTGCCGCAAAACTCGCTGCTTGCGTCCCCCCGCTGGGGGGATGCTTCCCCCACTGGCCACGCCAGCTTTTTGGTCACCAAGTTTTGAGTTCAAACGCCAGCTGCGGAAGTGCAATCGCATTGCACACTCCTCCACGGCGTGCGCAGCGCAGCACGCAACAAGCATGCAGTTGATGTCTTGCTGTGCGTTAACCCATCGGCCACGCTGCTTGGACAGGACTCCACTCCAACGCTTACAATTGGGCCGGTTGCCTGCGGGGTCTGCCTTCCCCACCGGCCACGCGCGATCGATGCGACTTTACACAAGCCGATGCGACTTAACCCCACCCCCAGTAGTAGTTGGAGATGCCGTTTGCGGCGATCTGTTCCAACCTTGCTTGTTGCATCGATATCTAGTCTCTTGCGGCAAAATTATCCCAACATGTCCTGCCGGGCAGCAGTGGATCACAAATCCAAAGTTCACACCTCAGTGCAAAACCACCCAGCTTGGGCCGCGCGCCGTTTGACAAACGCAGTCTGCTTGCGAGGTACCCTGGCCCGCGACAGCCTGAGCTGCAAGTAAACTTGCCATATTGGCACCCTGGGAGAAGCCAAGTACTCCATCCAGCGGCTCCTGGGCGTATCTTGCGCTGGCGGTCTGCTGTGCATGGACCACGCTGCTGCTAAGAGCGCAGCATGCTGGCGAAGAAGGTCTTGAATGGAGTCCAGCCTCACATCCAAGTCCCGATACTTTCCTCAGTCAGGCTTTGGGCAAAGTCTGACGGTTGTGGTTGCGATCAAGCGGGTCAAGAACAACAAAAACTCCCAGTAGATGAAGTGAGCCAAAACCTTGCCTCTACCCTGTCGATCTTGTAAGATTTGTCCAGGAACAAGCCACGCTTCGTTTTTTTACGTCTGTCTCTAGGTCATCGCTCTCGGTGATCCACTTGGCCCAGTCGTAGAACTGTTGACCTTTGAAGTTTTTCGACATCTCCTGACAGGCTTCTCTTAGCAACTCAATCGGATCACCAGTCGGAGCGACACCATGCGAGGTCCTCATACATGATATTGCTGGGGTCGGAGGGCATCCTGCAAGATTCTAAGAAACGTCTGGCAATGCAAGTTGAGAATGGCTTGCAATGGCAAAATGTCAGCGAACCAGCCCTACTACCTACTTTGATCAAACAATGCCAGGTCTTCATGCTTGCGCTTGTTTTTCCAAGTACCCCCTCCTCACACCAAGCGGAATCATCTCAGTGCGCTCTTGCTTGCGAAAGCAAAAACAGGTGGCATCACGTCTGCCAAGGTCCTACCATCCAGATAAATGAATTCGACCTCATCTCCGCACATCTTGGCTGCTCGCTGCAGCTGAACCTTGCAAGTGACCGACCTTCCTGCAGTGCAGAAACCAGGGTCCCCAGCTGCCTGCCACCCCCCCTCTTTGATGCTTTCTGACCCCGGACTTTCAAGGAACACCTGCATCTCAGGTGATCTAATTGAAATGAGGGGACCAAGAAAATCCAGAAACGCGTGGAGTGAGCGCATGGCAGCTTCCTTTGAACGTCTTCTTGCTTCGCGAGGCAAACCCCGCCTTGGTGACGTTCCCGTTGGAGCACGTGCCGTGCAAACAGGCAACACGAATGGGGCGCTGGAGGGGTGGAGGCGCCCATGCCACCTCCGCCACGGGTCCCGGACGCAAAGCCATGAAAAAGCAAAAAAAAACAACAGTTTTTCTTTCCTACTCTTTCATGTGAGCTCCAAACATGGAAATGAACATGTCCAAGGGACGCGGCGAGTACATCTCAGCCGCCACGTGCTTGGGAGTTTCCATGTAGTCAAAAACCCTTGGAGCTTTGCATATCCCAGCGAACATGGTTGCCTTCTCCTTGCAATCATCGCGCCTCGTGCTGAGTGGCAAAGGGCGCGCTCGTCACTGCCTGCGTTCGCCAGTGCTTTTGGTTTGCCCTGCTGTTTCTTGACCACACACCACAGGGCCCTCATCCCAAGCCGATTCAAAATGCGTGTCCGATTGGCATGCTGCATGCGGGTGGTCGGTCGGATGTGACATGCGTGTGTCCCGTGCACACCCGCCATCTTTTGCATCCAGCCTGGCGTGTTTCAGGCGTCTGCTCTGCGTCCGCCGGGTCTGCGAATGGGTCCCAGTCCATTCGCGGAAAATTCGCGAGGGAAGCCGCGCAGAAAATCGCAGCACCCCTCCGGAAGAGTGCCAAAAGTGTATGCCTGAAGCCGACAAGTGCCGAGCAAAGCCATAGACACCTTTCATTGATTGAACTCTCTGCCTGCCGGTTTGTTTGCCACTGCAGCTGAAAATGATTCCTCTTCGCTGTGCGTGTGTGATGTTTGCTATGCTTGCTTTAGCAAGGGCTGCAAAGGCTGAGCGTTCTTTCCATAAATGCAACAAAGAGTACATCAACAAGTATGGCCCGTCATTACACACAGCAAACTCAGCAGGACAGAAAGGTAGAAGTCACGGCAGGTGAAATGAACCAAGCGGCCAGTGAGCCTACTCAAGAACGGTGAGCTGATTGCAATGCTGGAGCATTAGAGCAAAACTGCTAAGGCACTCTGCTGGTACCTCATGCACATCGAGCTTTGAGATGACAAGCGATGCCTCGCGCTTTCCGTGCTACCTTTTTACCTGAGGCGTGACGCTTGTGCCAAGATTTGGGTGAACTCCTCGCCGCCCATTCCTCGAACAGCCGATAAGCAGCAAACTCCGAGACTGCTCCGAGCCCTAAGGCGCCGTCCGCTGCGTGGGGACTTCACGACCCAAATGCCGGGGCAGTTGCTTTGAACCTCCCGGACCTCAGGCCGGGCCGGCGTTCAGAACCGCAAGCTGACCGCAAGGTCACCGAGATGCGCTAGGGCCAGGGCATTGCTTGGGTCGTCGTCGGCAAAGATTGCAGCACCGGCGTCCAAGCCTCTGAATCGCTGAGTCGGGAGGCAACTTCGTGAGTCTCGAGGCAAGGCCCGCGCCCAATGTGGGCAGTATACGTTCCAGGATAACCGAACTCTTCGGAACCTCGTCGCCTCAGTGACATGGCAACCAGTTGGAACTAGATTTCATGCTAGCAATGCGATGCCAGTGTCTGCGTTAGCCCCTTCTGCCTCTCTTGTGGGCACAAACGCAGATCTACTCATGTGCGGGCCGACTAACTCAAGGTGCTAGGGTTGGCGCCAAAGTCTTCAAAGCCGAAGATCATCTTCGGATGGAAGAACCTGCGTTTCTCCGAGGGGATAGATTATTCATGCGGGGGTTGCAACACATGCTAGGAGAACTTTCTTCACCTTTGAGGAGATTGTATTCATATGCCAGGTTTCTTCATCGGGGGTGGGCATTGGTTCTGCTCAAAGCTTACATCAAATTTAGTGAAACTCAACCAGGATCTGGGACTACCCCAATCCGGGGGAAGCACGCAGCGCGCATTTCCCTCAATGCACTTTCTGCACTTCAGTCTCGCAGAGGAACCTTAAAACCATGAACTTGATTGATATTATTTATCTTTAATTATTAGCTCTTTTTCGAAAACGCGTCCAGAGGGGTCCAGAAAACCGGGGGGGGGGGGGGGGGGGCCACAAACATAGTTGTTTCCTTTATTTCTTTAGGGCCTCCCTGCATCATAACTCCGAACCACCGCACCCCGCATCCCCACTTGCGTCGGACCCATCGCCTCGCAAGGTCCAAATGCTGCAAAGCCTGGCGTTGACTCAAGCGGAAGGGCAACGATGCCGTAGTCTTGATATGGCGCGTGCAGAACGAACTGAAAATTTGAGCTTGGGGTGCCTTGGGCTGCGAAACAAGACTTGTTTAATGGCGTCGACGCGTGAGAAAGCTCAAACTTCTGGCAAACAAGTGAGGACATTTGCAGGGACCCCTGCAAGCTGCCTCCTACAAGGTCGGCCAGGTTTACGTACTTCGCAAAGGTGCTTAGCATGCTTCATCTCTCCGCACGCCTTGCCAATGGTGTGTCGCGAATTTCGCCTGGATGGATCAGCACAAAATGGTGGGGAAGCATGCCACAATATGCCACAAGACGCATGTTGGGCAACTGGCCCTGCCCATTGCAATAGTAGCAGAATGCGGCTCACATTTTTGGCTGGCTGCCTGCTCCTCTTACTTGCCCTTGGGGCAAAGCAAGCTTGAAAACAGCTTCCGCCAAAGCGGAGTTCTTCGAACCGCTACAGCACCAGTCCTGGCACCTTTGTTGGCTGCCACCCTGGAGGCGGATAAAAAAAGATCAGCTCCTCCGCTTCTCTCACGGATTCCTTTTTGCGCCTGGGAAAGTCGAGCGTACAAAACCTCTCTGTGACAAAAGGGCCGTGACAAATGAGGTTTTCCTGGTGGCTTGAAGAACATCTAATAGACAACAACAAGCCAACACTGCTGCATACATCTTCATGTCATCGTGCCACTTATGCTGCGCCTATGCCTGGTCCAGTGCCTTCCTGCATGCATTCACGACAAAGGAAGTTTCTTTTGCATGGCAAACACGGCCCTCAAGCGAATCTCAAATGTCAAGAACTAGGGTCACTGACTATACCCACAATAGCCTCCCAAGCGCGAACCCCGCTCTGCACCGATCTCCCGCGCGCACATCACACACACACACACAAACTACCATGGCAGTGCGCCACTTGCAACGGCGGCACGCATCAACTTCAACGCCAGGCTTGCTTTCGAGATTGGCATATCAAACCACGCCCAGCCCTACTTGCGAGGCAAATGCGGGGGTGTGGGGCACTTGAGGGAAAAAAACAACTCCGAACATCTCCAAACACAGAACCTGATCCTTGCAGCCAAGACACGCACGGCAGCAAGAGCAGCACACCCGGCAAATGCCTGAGTTGAAGGACTGCAAACCCTGCCACCACAATCCTCCTTTGTGCTGAGCTTGACTTCTGGCTATTGGCCCTTTCAGCTTGCGAGGCCTTCAGCACGCTTTGCGGCCGGGGACCCCGGCAGCCGCAACAGCGGTGGCAAATGCCCCAGAACCAAAGGCAAACCTGGCCGGTGCGCGCTGGGCAGTCCCGTATGGTATGCGTTGAACATCGGAAGCACATGGCTCATCCCGGAACATACAAGCACACAAGCGTTGGCCAAACAGACTTCCTTGCCCCAACCTTCCAAAGACCCGGTTGAACTGGGTTGGTGGAACCCCCCTGCTTGAAATAAACTGGTGTGCTTCTGTAGGCGCGTGAAATGGGGTTGTGGACTTTCTGGCTTAGGTGTCATTGACTTCCGGCGCTTCTGCGGGAAGATTTGCGAGACTCAGCCGCCGACGGAGCAAAGGCAGCAAAGCCCCAGGCCGCCGCCAACTCAGAGCCCAACACATCTCGCATGGGACACGGAATCGTCGAATTGTAAAACGTCCTGGGAGGAAACTGCCGAATCCTCCCCAAAGAGAATAGGGCATTATAAGGCTTTTCGGGTGGAGGACCTTCCAAAGGTCCCTTGTGCCTCGAGGTCCGTCGGGTGAGCAACTTCCGGCACGGCTGAGGCCTCCGCTCATCATCAGAGTGCTGGGCTGCTCCCACCACTGCAGCTCGCGCTGCACGGCATATGGGTTGTCCTTGGACGGGCCACATGCTCTGTCACGGGTTGGCTTTAGCCGAGTGCTCCAACTTCGTTGAAGCAAATTGGCGCAATGAGGCAATTTCTCAGAGTGTACCCCGGCAAACCCTTAACCTAACCTATGCCCCTAGGGGGGGGGGGTTCGGGTTTGGGTCGGGTTCGGGTTCGGACCGGGCATGTCCGCTCGGTGGGGGAGGGGGTTCGAGTTTGGGTGGGGTACCTAATGCAATTTATTATGCTTCTCCGTGCCTTGAGCGGGCCCCTGCCGTGATCGCATCCAAGGATCGCATTGGACGTCGCCGAGGTAGATGATGCCCGCCTCTGTTGCACCCAGTCTATTTGCCAATCCGGTCGTTGACTAGCTTCTTCTGCCTAAACTGCGCCCAAGGGCCCCTTCAACCGGGGTATATAGTTGCATAACCCCCCCCCCCAGCGCTTGATACTTCCACAAAATTGACTGCCGCTGCTCAAAGTTGCATGCTTGCAAGTAAGAGGCATGCTAAGGACCTGCTTTGCCCTGCTAGCCAAGCCACGTTTGCGACGCGAAGAGTAGTACTTTCCTGCACGGTCGTCTCCTGAGAGCAGCAAATCGGTGAAACGCTGCTTTGAATCAAACACTCTCCAACAATTTGAGCAGAAACACGTGTGGGACAGTTGGACAAGAGGAACCCATAGACACACGCATAGACAAACACACATCCACCCAGCCACCAATCCACCCCGCCCAGCGCACACGCCCACATGCGCAAAAATGCGCACGCACACCCACACCCACACCCACCCAAAGAGAGAGAGAGAGCGAGAGAGAGAGAGAGAGAGCACACAAGTCACAAAACCATTATGTGGTTTTAATGGCTGCTTTCAAATCAAATTTGTTTCAATTTGTGTTGCTGTGGCAAATCATGTTGCAAAACACTAAGTTACCCACATCTCAAGCAAATCCATGCGATGCCAGCCCCGTGTCCTCAGTGGGTTCTTCGGTCACAGAGCCGAGGACCGTTGTGGTGACTGGCCTGCAGTCCGCACGGCTGAGACTGGCAGCCGTCTGTAAGCTCCGAATGGAATCTGCAACGCCAAGTGCTCCATGGAAAGCGGCAGTTCTTTCGATTTGACATCCGCCAGCATCAACTTAATTCAACTTACGTGGAATTGTGCGCCTGCTCATTTCAGCGTGCTACCAAGTCGGACCAACCAACTGCTCAAGCATGTTCCAGCCAGGATTTTGAGCATCCTTTTTGCGGTTCGCCTGTCTGGTCGAAGCGAGAATGGCTCAACTCCCGTGCCAACTTTGCTATGCCAAGCGCCAAACCGAGCCCCTGACAGGGTCCACAGCCATGTTGTGGAAGTCTCGTTTGGCTCCTCAAATCGAACCCCCAAACTGACCGCTTAACATGAGGCCATCCGGACAAAAGCTCGCTTGCCTAACTTGACTTGCTGAGTTGGCCATCCTGCTGGCAGGAAATGGCAAGGATACAGGATCTTTGAACAGCCCAAGCATAAACGGGCATCCTCTGGCCCCAGACTTCACCAACTCAGAGTGGATGCTCCAATGAAGCTTAGAACAGCGGTCCTCTCTGACGCACAGCAGCCACGTCACTGTTCTGCCCTGGCTCATGGCTTGACTCTCGTCTGAGAACGTGGCACCGCATGGATAGATGGAATCCTTCCGGCAAAACGGGCTGAATACCGCCCCACCAGAGCAAACAACACTGGACGCTGAGTTTTGGGCAAGGAGCGGCGCACGAATGTCATGCGGCGAGCCTGATCCGCGACAGCCCCAGTGGTGTTGGACCTGGAAGGCACTCCAAGCCCCATGTCGAATGCCACAAAGCACGGGAAATCTTACCCTCCAAACAGAAGTGAAAGCCCAGTGGCCAGGCATGAACAGGCCAATGATTTCAACAAGAGGTCCGATTTGTTGATGTATTGCGGGGTCATCACGAAAAGTAACAGCCCCTTGGCTTGCATGCGCGTCTCAGGCACAAACTCTTGAAGACTAAGGGTTGGCTACTCAAAGCTGCGGCAGTCCAAAGCTCACCAGATTCAATTGTCTACCAAAAGGGTCAGCTGCCATGTTTTACAGGGCATCCGAAGCGAGGCCAACTCGGGCATCGCATTGTGATAAGGTTGCCAGGCTGCTCATCGTGTCCTGGGCAATAGAAACAACGGGTGTCATGTCATGCCGGCCCGAGATTCATTTTTGGAAGGTCCGAAATCCGTGCTCTTGCTTCCCTTGACCAGTTTCATGTCTTGTTGACGACCCCCAGCAATGGCTGCTCATTATTCTGCTCATTCCTCCAAGTCACGTCAGGCGTTGTTTGAAACATTTTTCCACGGATTTGCCCTCGCAAACCTTCCCATCGAAAAGGCCTCCTATATCGGATGGGACCCGTGGCTTCTCATTGTGCCCAGGGCTCCCGTGTTGAGGAAGAGGTGGGCCACATCGCACAAGGGGCAGTAGAAGCATCCCATTGGCCATCGGATCGCCTGAGGCGTTTCTCTTTTCTAGGACGACCGCATCAGTTCATTTGATGACGTTCTGTGACATGTTTTCTTCAAGACCCAGCTTGCAACATCGGTAACATGAACGAATTCCAAGGCGGGCAATGCAGGCTGCTTCAATAGTGATCCCTTGGTTGCTGCTGCTTATGCTGCAACCTCATCCCTTAAAACTGACTTCTCATGGACAGGTGCAATGGGATGGGGGAAATTTCAAGCGGGTAACGTGAAACTTTACGAGCCCCAGTCAATTTCATGTGCAAATGTACGATCTCGAGTCAAGGCAGTCACAACAGTCAGCTTGGCAAAAACCATAAATGACTAAGCCCCGTGCCATTTCCTTTGATGGGACTTAGGCCAAGCTATGCAGCATCAATTCAATCGCTTGCTTCCCTTTTGGTGACCTAATGTGAAATTCGTCCGGTGGCTCACTACCCTCCAACCACCCCAACGCATGACATTTTGCCCCAAAGCCAATGACATCAGAGCGCAGTCTGGTCAAGTCTGGTCAAGTCTGGTGAACCTACCCAGACCTGCAGCGAATTGCCGTGGGGCGTTTCGGGCGCGGACGGCGTCTCACGTGTCCCGACCGAAGGCCTCGGTGGGTTCCAAGCTCACCTCCTGCACTGCGAAGCCCAGGTCCAGCGCCGCCGCTGCGGAGCCCTCGGCGAGTCTCGACCCAACGACGCCTTCGAACTGAAACCGTGTCCAAGCAACGCGCATTTCTGGGATTCCGGGACCAACCTGGGAATGTTGTAGGTTGACATGGTTGACCTCTTTGAGTCTGAGCTTCCTGGGTAAGGCTCAGGGCTTAGGGGCGGTAGTCTGGGACCCGCACATGTCCGCAATATGTGTCCCATTTAAACATCACCTCAACGAAAGGAAACTCAAATTGAATCAGCCCAAAAGATGATGTTGAAAACCACCAAATGGGGAAATAGTTCTGTAAGTATATGGAACCTGGTTCCCTCGTTGCCAAGCTGAGCTTTTGGGACCTCTGGGCCGTTGAGCCGAAAAAAACAAAGGTTCATGATGTGCGACAGCCACGTCACTTGGGAAATTGGGTATGAACTTTATTTGGAAAAGGAGTCTTTGGTGGAACTGATTGGGGGATTTATGTCCACCAACCATTTGGGCGGGCGAATGCTCCTCATTCAGGAAATGCAATATAAGCCAACTTGTGCTGCCTTTGAAACCCTTGTCCAGATTTCTAGGTGGGCCTAAAAAAGACCCTCATACGGGTCATAACGAACAGGATGCAGATTGCACCATGTGACAATCATGTGTGTGTGAAGGACCTTAGAACAAATTTCTTAGCACCCGCGTAGGGTCACCCAAGCTGTGAATGAAGGGGCGCCTTGAACCAAAGGAACCTGTACCAAGCAAAGACTCCTGAGCAGTAGCACTAAGCGGGCTTCTGGTTCACATACATCCCTTGGTTTTATGGCAAAAACGTATCAACAAGTGACCAAGGCCCGCTTCACCAGCGGCCCGCTGACTCAGGAGCAGCAGGCATCATGCGGTGTTATCCTTACCCAGCTAATCGCACAAACGTCGAAGGAGTCCGCTACACAACGACACTTCGGTGCATGAATCAAGGGCCGCTGCTTGCTGACACATCCGCCCAAACCTTCTCGCCAAGCAACGCAAAGGGAGGCGTTGAAAATCTGACGGTAGCCGGCATCGCACGCCCAAGATGCCGCCATGCGAAACTCTGGATAGATGATCGCCGTCTCCACTTGGGCCTGACGGAACGGAAACAACATCATAGCTGCCACCTCCTTCAAAACCCCAACCCCCTTTGCACGTAAGCCCCAAGTGCTTCCCATAATAACTCTGTCTGTAGACAAGCCGTTGAAGCCCAACAAAGCTAGCGCTGGGATCAACCGTCCCTGCTGCCTCTTGAAAGGTCATGCTCACACTACTTCCATGCATAGTCGCTATTTGCTTCTCAACGCGAATAGTTACGATAGCAAAGTAGGCATTGTAGTTTGCAATGCGAGCAGCTACCTGCTGCGGCGCTTACGGAGCTAGGGGCGTGTGCGCGCTCAAGGAAATCCGAACTCTCCAAGTAAAGCCCATAGGCTAGCACACACTCTTGTTCTGACCTATCGCCTGCCCGTCTGCCCGTCTGCCCGTCTGCCTGTCCCCGCCTCACTTCCGCGGGGCTGTCGGCACAGCGCTGCCGCACCAGGCGCCTGGCCTAAGCCGTCGAGCGGTTTGCGCGGCGCGGGCCATTGAGCTGAGGCGCGAATGGTGGAGTTGGCCGTCTCCAACTCAGAGGCGTTGTTCCAATACAGATCCTGGCGAATCGCTTCATCCCAACTGTATGGCATATTGGGTGAGGAAGAAGTGGTGTGATCTTTTGTGGATGGGAACTCAACCAGGAAATAGGAAAACATACAAGCCCCGTGCCCTGTGCAAGCGCAACGCCTTGTGCAAGCGTAAGCCCTTCGCAGCCAAGCGACACCATCGTCGCACTCCGGACAGAAGAAGCAATTGGCCGGCCAGCCGGGGAAACTTCCCTGCGTCACCTCAGGCTTCCACGGGAGACTGGCGAGCAGCTTGCGGCTTGCGCCAGCAAAACCAATCTCAGCTGTTCAGTGACCCTGGAGAAAAAATAGCAACCCTTTTTTGGGAAGACCATTTTTAGTGGGGCAGCCACCAAACAAATTGGAAAAAGGGTGCCACTGAACAACTGAGCAATGGCTCCAGAAGCTCAAGTCCAGCTGAGGAACCCAACGCAGGGCACTTGTGCAGGCAAAGCCAACGTATTTGTCACCGGAACGATTGCTGAGGTGTTCCCGGTCTTCTTGTCATGTGCCACGCGGCTAGCAATGTTGACCTGCCTCGAGGGAGGTTCGGTTGGAAGGAAGAACATTTGCTTCACGCGGGACCTCCTCTTGGAAACAGACTGTCAGGTTGATCACTGGGGGTCAATATTGACGTTCTTGCTTTAGCATGCTTTAGCTCGATTGCTTGCACCAAGACTTGCTGAAGTCAGGCCTGGCGTGGCCTTAATACACCGCGACAAAAGCTCCAGCAAATCAACTATGCTACCAAAGGCTGCGAGCGATCTGCAGCCAATGAAGGCCTTCTGTGCTATTGCAGGGCGCAGGGTTGCACTTACCTTTCCGGAAAAGGTCTGACACACCCTCGGAATGGTGGACAGTGGGGCGGCCCGAGCTTTAAAAAACGAAATAGCGCTGCGTGCATTATTCATGGCTTCCCCATAGATGTATAAGTGCAGGGTAACCTTGTGGTTGCTAATACTTGTGGGAGATCCATTCGGACAGGGGTTCTTCAGCACGACCAAAAAAGCAAAACAAATGTCTGTTGGCCCTGTGGCACATGACTGAGAGCAGCTCTGCAGGTTTCGAAACCTCAAAGGGCAAGTGAACCAATGTATTTCTACAACGTGAATCAGACCCCTGCGCACAGGTATCACCGGTATCACAAATGAGGGGACGATGGACCTACCCTACGCAGGTCCCCAATCAATTGCTCCTCTCTTTGCCGCTATGACTGAGCGGCAGCTCCGAGCACCCCGGTGTGAAAGCCAGCGTCAGCGCACTCTTCAGGAGAGCTGACCGACTCGAGCACAGGGCAGACCTGGCGATATCAGAATGCGTAGGCGAATTCCTGGTGGCCAACTATGGCGTTTTATGGCTAGGAATCGAGGGCCCACCGCTTTCGCTCTGATGAGTTCAACTCCTAGCCAGGCAGAACAGTCTCACCTTTTCATGATTGTCAGGAGGCCTCTACGTACTGTTCTCGGATTTGATGAGCCCCCCCCGCACGCTTCTTCACGTCGCCTGGAGGCTGACTGTCGGCTGTTGAGCCCGCCAACCAGGCCAGGCGGGGTGACACTTAAGTGGCTGGTGTACTGCAAGAATCAGCAGGTGCAGCCCAAGGCACCGGGGGCGTCACCAGCTCGAAGTCCAAAGGGAAGTTGCAGAGAGCGGGGAAGGGCCGCTGAGTCAAAGGCGCATAAAAGATGGAGGGCGCCAGGAATCGCCAAGCGTCTTGCGGGATCCTCCAGGAAGATCTATCCTCCGGCTTCGACATCGACAAAATGTGTTTGGGCTTGGGGAACCAAAGGTACAGTAGCCGCAGCAACACTTAGGGAGGTGTCAAAAAAAAAGGCACCCGAAGATTGGCGGTTGTCTTTTGCGCGTTCTTGTCAACCATATCTCAGTAAACACACCCCTCATTTTACTTGAAATGACAAACAAAAGGGTCTGGGCCAGCTGAATTGAGGCAAGCCGCGGCAAGCGCGACTGGCGCCAGGTACCGGCTGAACCTGCAGAAAGACGCGGAAAGGAAGAGAACCGGTGAGCCCTGCCCTGCATGGGTCATGGTGAGGCCCCCCAGCGAATATTCTGAGCATTAGATTCCCTAGACATTGGTTGCCACATCCACCTTGGCTTCGTGCATGCCGAGTGGCTGGAGGGTCTGGCCGGCTTCCCACACCCCTTCCCAGGAGAAACGGATCTCCGCGGTGTCTTCTGCGATGAATCGTATGGCCGCACCTGCGACGCGTTTCACGAACGACATGCATCGAGCTCAGATTTGTCTTGCTTCAACAGTCTTGCAAGCCATGAATCGGGCGGACCGCCTGCTTGGCCGCGACTGATGCCCAAAGTCGAGGACCTCGACGCTGCTTTGGCAGTGTGCTTGCCAAAACGCGTGCAAAACCAACGTCAATCTCGGCCGTCACAATTGACTTGTTTCTAGTCGCCAAAAAAAAAGTCGGAACTTAGAACCTCACCAAATAACCGGGTTGGCGGTTGGCAAAACCAAGCATTTCGAAACAACCTAGCATTTTTGCCGAGAAGGGGATGCCATCTCAGCAAAGGCTTGGCCAACGCCGGCATACAATTGCAGGTGTTTATGAACATGATTTTCATGCAGTTGACATGCAACAGGAGTTTGGTAGAGCCAAACCAGACATAATCACACATGTGTGATGGAGCTAAAACTTAACTGCAGCGAAGCACCTTTAAGACCCTGGCCAAAGATTCTCCTGGCCGCCACTCCAGGCACCATCGATGAAGCCCACGCCAATGGCCTCCAAGCGGAGCTGTCGATGTGAGGGCTGTCGGCCCTTGAAGGAACTTCATTCCAACGAGCAACATGTCAACAAAGGACGGTCACAAACACTTTGTTTCCGAAAGGAGCCGATTTGCGTACATGGGATCCTTGTCCCGTTCATGGTGCAGGCGTCAATACATGCAATACACATGTAACCTGGTGTTTCCACTTTTGGCCCTTGAACATGTATCCCAAATCTACCCCGGTGTGATGCCCAGTCCGTTTGGTTTTCTGCCTTTCCAAGTTCAAGCAAGCTGTAACTTGATAGCTCGAAGAGGTGAACAAATGCCCAGGCCCATGTTCGCATAACTTCCCATGTCTGTTTCCTTCTTGGAACATTTACAACTTTGAGACTATGGGAAATTTGCCACCCAAAGGGGCACGGGTGGGGTTGGGTGAAGCTTCTGTCAACGCCTCCTGCCCGGTCTGCCAAACCTCCACTTCAAAGTAGTAGGCCCCGGACCTCAGCGATTCGAGGCATCAAACTGGGACTACTCATGGTCTCCCTGAGAGCCTAGCACCATCTGGGTGTCTGGCATGCCAACCTCAGTCAGGGTCTCTGGCATGCCGACCCCCTCTGCGGACCACAATTCGGCCGACCCTCTGTTCAGACATGTGAGAACACCACCGAACTGCTGGAACAAGCTCCGTTGGTTCCTCTTTCAAAGGGGCCGAGGCCTGCTTGTTTGCCTAACCCTGCTTGGGACCATAGAAGAGGAACCAGATGGTCGAAAGGGGGATTCGAAGATTCATCTGTCGCAGCGGGAAGCAAGCCGGGCCCTCCCTCAATTTCCTTCTGGTTCCGGATCTTGCGCTGGTTTATCCAAACTGTTCCAATCAAAGCCCTGTGGGTCCAAGCTGGCAACCATAAAAGAAGCACAATAACACGTCGGTGCCAGCGCACGCCATCACCAAACGGGCCCACATCTTGAACATCGACACCTGATTCAGTCTTGGACTTATTCATCAGGGGGTGCTTGCTGCGGGATCCCCTTCTCCAACGAGACCCACGGTAACCAGGCAAATCTTCCCCGGGATGCGGAAATCTGAAGTTGTCCTCTCCCTCGCTTCAGAAGGCAACCGCAACCAAGAAGCTTTGATTCTCACTCCCCCAGCATTTCTTTCATCACCCTTGTGCTGATGCTGGTCCTTCAAGTCAGCTCACGTCACCGTGTTGTCTTTTGCAGGGAACGCACGGCGTTTGAAAGATCCGGTTACGGCACCAAAGTGAAAGGCTTGCCTTTCGGAAGCCCATGGAACAGGTTGGCTTTTTGGCAAGAATCCCCCCGTCCCGCAGCTGGATCTAGGTTGTCCCACCTACAACCAGGGCTGGAAAACCAAGTACTCCAGTGGCTATGGAAAAACACACGCCTTTTCTTGACCCACAACAAGTTGAAAGGGAGCGCTTCCCTGGAGGTCTGGCTGTCCGTCGGAACACGCTGCGACCGCCCCTCGTTCCGAGGTGCCACGAGGGGCGCGAGCGGCCGAAGCTCCGCGCACCCAGCGAATCGCCGGTCCGCCTGGGGCACCAAGGTCGAGGTCGTGCCGCCTCGGAGTCAGCTGAAGGTTGCTACGATTTCTGGGCTGCCCTCCGATCCCCCGCTAAAAGTTTAACTTTTAGTGGGTTAAATCGGGCCACTTGGGCCAAATCGCATGCTGGAAAAATTAACATGGGCATAGCTCTGCCATCAAGTTCGGAACCCGTAAAATTGGGTGAAACATTGGGAGCACAAAGGGATCGTCGCGGTTTTAGGAGGGTCCAACATTCGTTTAAGATGCAACCTTTTCCAATTCATTGTTCGACGCAAATAAAATAATGCCAGCATCTGCGGCATTCTGCGGCCATCGCCTTCAGAAAAGGGCGACGTGTGAGGGTGACCGGGAGAAGTACATTCAAAGGAATTCTATCGAGTGAGCGAACAAAATGGTCTCAAAGGGGCGACCGCTATGGCTTCTCTTGAAAAGCGGAACGATAACCCGTGTTTCCTTTCGGCACTGTCTTGGGACAAGTTTGGGTTCCCTTCACAAAGGTATCCGCGTCACTGATTTTGAGAAAAGGTAAGTCGAAAAGGTAAGTCGAAAAAAGGTAAGTCGAAGAGGGACGACCCTGGCTGGCTTAGAGTGAACATCTCGAGCTTTACCGGGACCCGCTACGTTCACTCTCAAAGCGAAAGCCAACTAGCAGATCTAGCAGCCAAAGGGTTGCCATTTGGGGTACTCTCTGCCAGGCTCCGTTTGAGGATGTTTGAGGCTATAGGGGACACAGCGCAAGTGCTCGCCAAGCAGCGGTCGACACAGTCAACAGCATTCGGATCGGCCACCTCGTCCTTACGGGAGGCAGCTGGACAAAAGCAACCTGGAATCTGAAACAACCATTTCCAAATCGTTGTGTCTCAAACTGCCATTTCCCATCAAGGCAATTCATCGAAAATGGTTGTTTCAGTGATTCAGGTTCCAGGGAGTCCTCCTTGAAATGGCTGTTCGCCCATGCCCACAGCTTGCCATTGCAAAAAAGGCATGGAGCATTCCACATCAAGACTCTAGCATTTGTCGGCCATTTCTGCTGGCCTTTCCAGCCTTCTCATTGCAGTGAGCAAACTTTGACGTTGCACTGATTGCACCTTGACCAAAAAAAAAGCTCTCATTTGAAGACTGCTGGTCACGGAAGAAACCTCTTGCCTGCGAGTTCGCACGTCCAGGCTCCCTCCAAAACAAATATGTGTCTGCATTGTTGCACCTACCCAAATCGAAGCCATCTGAACACGTCCCCAGCGTCGAACATGAAGCCTCCCCCGACTTCCTGAACCCTCTTGGTACAGTCCCGAGCCAAAAAAAACACCTCAGCAGGCTCTTCAGGTTTCATATTCTCCAAGGTGGCCGCTCAGAGCCTTTCCGAACCCACTGGAACTGGCTGAATCCAACTACGAGGCTTGCAGCCTTCGCTGGGATGGCCCACTGCCGCAGGCCTAGTTGCCCAGCAACCTGGTAGACAAAGAGCTAGAGCCGTTTTTTTTTTTTTTCCCCTGGCGTGACCATTTTCGGTGGAGAAACCCACCACAAATGAATTTAAATAATTTAGAGGCCAAACCGACTGATAAATTTGCATAGCAAAGGGGACCGATGTCGACAAGGCTCGCAGTACACCACTTTGGCCAGGCATTCCACGCTGCGATCTTCCGGCCACGCCAGGGCATCGCACGTAAGGTTCACCCAACCTCGTGCTGGAAGGTCATGTGATCAAGATTCTGCAGGCAACTTACCAAATGATCCTGAAACATGATAAGCATGTTCCCAATTGCATGATTAGAAGCATCCAGGGGGGACACAAAGCTGAGAAAGATATCCCTGCCAGCGCTCAATTGACATCCCTAATGTCAACCCATCCATCAGTTTGGCAAACTAGGAGTGTGTTTCTAAAGCAACGGATTTTCTCTTGAATGGAACGTCCCCTATCTACCAGCGGTTTTAGTTATTGACACTGGGTCCAGTATGTATGATTCCAGAAACTCACAGATCAACGTGTCTCAATTGGTTGCGACGCCTTTCAGAAGCCCCTGAATGTTGGGAAGGCCAGTGCATTTCCAGCCGAACGATCCGCATGGTCCAGGCCCCATAAAGCCATGCACCGGAACTTTGCTGTGGCAACTCGCTGAAGCTTTGTTGCCATGGACTTCAAATGGAGACCAAATTGAATCAAACAAGCCCAAACGCAAAGAAAAAAGGCAGAAAAGGGGAGCACCCCGCCCCCCTTTTGGTTCCAATAGCAAACCAACTGAAGCAGCTTTTTGAATTTTCAAACGCAGGCACGCCCTTCCAAATACCTGAATTATTGTCCTCATCTCCAAACAAAAAGAACCTTGCCAAATCCCCTCACGCTCGACATGCCCTCAGCCCAGGGCGCCGTCCCTGGCGCACTCCACGGCGCATACGTCCCCCAAACTCAGCCGGTCGCCGCAGCCGGCGCTTGCCGCCGACACCGTGCAGCCCGTTACCTTCAACGGCGAAAGCCAGGGTGGAAAGCTCAACTTGATGTTCAACTTAAAAACATTACAAAAGGAACAGCGCAAGTCAAGTCACAGTTTCAATTAGTTTGTTGATGATGTTCCAGCTAGATACTTCCGATCAACAAAAACATGAGCCCGACAAGAAACTCAACAAATCCAGGAGGCAACCCTCGAAGGAAAAAGATCTGGAACCCTGTGATGGTGCCCCGTACTTCCCTTTTCAACATGACTCACCCGGCATCCACGACCAAACAAACACCAACTCACTCAAGATCGCCAAAGTTTGAATCATGCCAACAAAATATAAGGGGAGCTGTCCAAGGATTTTCAAAGTCAGAAGCTGGGCCTTTGTCTTTGGTCATGACAGTACCCGCGTGTGGCTCATATTTCCCCGTATCCATGATCCAATATCCGTGGAACCTGAGTGAAGCCCTTTAAGATCACGTGTCCCTTTCAAGGGGCCTCTGCGTTCCATGTTGGAAGAGTACAGGGATACTCTAGAAAACATCCTCGGCAACCAACAGGAATCCATTTGAACAGGCACTCGTAAGTCATGTTGGTTTCTAAATCTAGCTCGAACCCTTTTACTGGGACAACCCACCAACTGGTGCGAAGGTGGCGTTTTTTTTCCGCCACATCGACCAGAACAACCACCGAAGCTGCGGGCGAAGGCGCGCACGGCACTGCCTCGCAGGAGGGCAAATATTCGTAGCCCCGGCCCAAGCCGCCGTCCGGCTGCCAGTCTCGCTGCACGCACTCGTAGAAGGTGAGGCCTTCGGTGGGCACCTCGCAATTGCGCCCCAGTCTTGTTGCCTTTAGTTGGGGGGATGTTGGGGGGAAGGGACCTCTGTTCTGTTTCCTTTGGAGGAGAAAGGACCATTTGGCCCCAAGTGTCTGTCCCTTCAAGGCCAAAAAGGCAGTTTGGATATTGGTTCATCCAAGAGTGGCGCGGAGGCGTTGCCATTGTTTTGTTTTCTCTTTGGACCTGAGGAGACAGCTGTTGTGTAGGGGAACAGCTGCGTGCCGCGCTGATGAAGGAAGATTAGCTTTTGAGATCTAGGTATTGGGCAACCACCCATCTCAGCTCAAACAAAGATCGGCCATTTTGTGGCGCCAAAGCAGCACAGTTGAAAATTTGCCTGGGTCGTTCCCACAGCCAGCAACAGGAATCTCTTGCTCGAGGTGAGTTGCACTGAAATCTCTGGGCCTTGAGTTACGGGGCAAGTGGCGTGCAGCACCACACCTTTTATTTGTTTTATGCATGTTTGAGCCCGGGGTCCAATAAGGGGAATTTGGCTCTGGGCCCCTCTTTGAGCTTGAAGCTTGTCAACCGCCTACTCTGGGGTCGTTTAGGATACGCAATCCCCACATCGACTTTCTGTCCGGGGCGCAGCCGTTGCGCGCGTCCAGGCCCCCTGCGTTCGCATCGGTCAACCACAACGTGGTGTGTCCCCTTGGATCATGTGCAACGGCAAGTTTCAAGAAAGCCAGCGAATGTTTGTGGCCCCCTATTTGGGAAACACCTTCCCATATTGTGGGAAACACCTTCAAAGGAACATTCAATAGACTGCAGCAAAACTTAAAAAGTCCATCTTCCCCGCTTTGCCCCCCAATCCTACCTCGGCCTGTGCTTTCAGCTGAGCATGTTCCTTTAAAGGCAATTCCTGGCTCAGATGTAGTTACTCGCAACCTTGCAAAATGATCTCACATGAGATGTCCCACCGCAACATTTCACAGGGTTTCCTAAATCCCCCCTTTTCAAGCATCACGACCAAGGGAACTCACATCAAAGGGCCCAAAAGGTGATGTTTCAAACCGCCGGAAAGAGAAGTCAGGTTCGACCCTGTTTCACCGACCAACCGTTGGCGGCCTGTGTCTCTGAGCTCCAGCCGTAGAGCAAGGTGGAGTTTCCGTCCCGGGCGTCGTTCTGCAGCAAAACCGCCGGGAACCAGGGCGAAGGCCTGCAGCCCGGGTGCCTCAGCTCCAGTGACGCTTTGCCTGCCTCACAATTCCCGCGGCTCAAAGCCCCAGGGAACCAACAAATCAAGACTGACATTTTGGGTTGCACTGCCACAAAGAAGGCGATACATTGAAAGCTTGAAAGCTCGGTCTTGGACAAGCCAGTTCCACACCGAGCGTTTATGTCAATAAGATCGACGTATGCCTGACAATCAGCTTCATCAAGTCATGGCTGCGTTTGTGTGAAGCTGGCGCGCATGCGGCCGCACTTTGTCTTGCGACATGTCTATAGCGCTGGCGCAGCCCCCTCCAATTATCCGCCGAAGCCAGGCGAGACCAGCTTCAACTTTGACCAAGGTCGAATCGTACCGCAACACGGTGAAACACGAAATATGCCATGAGGACAAAGTGAAGCAGGATCTGACTTGTCCCTTCAAGTTAAAACTGCGGATAACATTGGCAATTTAGGGTCGGGAGCTTGGTCTCATCTGTCAGTGCCATCCATGCTGGCTTCTGCAAAGCTATCGACTACAGCCAGGGCCCATGTGTGTGTGTGTGTGTGCGCGTGTGTGTCTCTGCGTGTCAGTGTTGTGTCTGTGTCTGTGTCGGTGTTTTGTTGAAGGTACCATTGTGAAGGCCAGTTAAACGGAAACACAAGGAACACCACAATTTATTGGATCCCAATGTGATTCGCATATTTGTCCTGGGGGACGGCGGGGAAACACCAGGGGTGGGGGAACGCAGTTCATGACTTGACTGCGCAAATTGCGCACATTCAAGCTGCACATGTAATTACCTATGTGATTGTCACAAACGAGTTTCGGGACTAACGCCTCCAACGCATGCCCCGCGATTGGCAACCTCGCCTTTGGCGTGCTTTCACAAAGAGAAGCAGGGGTCCACCCCTCCATACAAAGACCCAGCGTGCGGCATGCAATGTGGCTTTTGATGGACAGGAACTTACGCAGATTTCTCCACCGAAAGATTCCGCGCCCAAACTGTGCCCCAAATGGGTATGAATTTTAATAAGGGGCCCTTTGGTGGACATCATTTAGGTGGGGATTCATGTCCACCAATCACTTTTGAGGTTCCCTATTAAAATTCGTGCCCCAAATGTCGTAAGGTGAAACCAGCGAAACCCCAGAGCCCCGGATCGCGAAGTTGGGATCAAACCTCTCCGAGTTGAATTCCCGAAGGATCGCCGGCCACTGGAAACGGTGCCCGGTCAGCGCGTCCCGAACCCAGGGGCTTAACGGGTGGAATCCAGTGAGCTGGTGGCTATGTACAGGGTCTGCTCTCTTGTGACCTCCCCTCCCCTTTGGTTTCCTTGGGGAAATCAAGATATGGACTATTTACCACCATTTGCTTAAATCTCCCGGGGAAAAGTGAACATCTCCAGCCAGGTGATAGATTCCGAACCGGGGAAGATAACCAATATGCTAAATCGCTCGTGGGAGTTTAGCACCTGAACAGAACCTGAGCCACCGGGAGAAACGCATCTCCAGCGCTTCCGCCGAGCCGCTGCAGCACCACGAAGGCACCATCCGCGCAGGGCGCTGCGATCTCCAAATCCAGGCGCACGCGGCCCACGAATTCCTCGAGCGCTTCTCCGGCTAGGGCGCTCTTGGGGATGTGCGCCCCCGAAACGGTTTGGTTTTCCTTTTGAACCACACTGAAAAGGGTGCCTTTAAACAAACACAACCTCTGTCCATTTTTCGGTGGATTTAAACATCACCTTGTGGGCCCATTGAAAGTGAGCTTCTCTTGGGGTGATGTCAAGGGGAAATGTGCTTTAGATCTCCTGGCTCGCCCCCAGAGCCGCAAAGACGACGCTGGAACCGCTGATTGTTGTTCTTAGTTGTTGATTGTTTTTCTTAGTTCCCAGAGCCGCTTGATTTAAAGGAGCAAGCACTGGACGTAAATGGCCCTTTGTGGCACCACATTCATGTTGGCCTAAAGAAGGTGCAACAAGGGACCTATTTTTCACGATGCCCAAGGGGTGATGAATATCAAAACTACTGGGGGTCCCACATGTTTTTGAGAACCCAACATGTCACATTAGTGGCCACATTGCAAGCTTGCAATCGGCGAGTATTCCTGGCTTGCCCTTAGGGAGTTAGCTATCCCCACAGCTTGTAAGAGGCAATGGTTGCGCGTGGGTCTCTAGAGGTTGCAAGTAAGCCGTCACAAAGTGAGGGGAGTTCTGGCTTCGGGGTCCCCAAGGTACCTCTCCAGAAGTCTCGCTCTCAACCCGAGGCAGTCTCCCTCCCTCGGTCGTGCAACTGCCATCTCTTGAACTCCGCCCGGCCAAAAAACTAGTGTCGACGCAGGATCAATGAGCTGGCGGATGACTAGGGGTAGAGTTAGTGAAGGTATGGCTCCAAAATGGGACGCCCCTTTTGTCAGTCAACTAGTGCCGGGTCAATCTTAAACTGTGGGAAAGTACATGGAGACAGTCAAACCCAAGCAAGCGAACAAGTGGATTCTAGTGAAACGGACAGACCTCGGCATGAGATGTCAACTCAGGGCTGGCAGCGCACATAGGTCTCACTTGACGGGTGCATCGCGTGGATATGTTGGAGCAAGGCCTTCTCCACGATGGGCCTCTTCAATTTCTTGGTGTGTGTCACAAACCTTTGGGTCTTGAAGGCATTGTTGAGGCAAACCTTGCTATTAAGTACATGGACATCTAACTCTCTTATTGCGGGACCCCCCATGACGTGCCATGTTCATGGTTGAGTGGGGGACAGGGGAACCACTCCTGACTACTAGCAGTAGAGTCCTTGAAGCTTTGGGATTTATCCAAATGGGATGACAGGCTCAAGGCAACCCGTGGATGAAACAAAAAAATCACGCGCACGCACGCGGGAACTGCACGGCCCAGCCGCTGCGTGCACCGCAAGCACCAGGAACCCAGCTGCTCGCATGCATCGATGCCGACCCGCCGGGCCGGGCCGAGCGGGCTGGGAAGAATTCTTCGGAGGTGGGGAAAAAGATGTACTACTCGTGTACATTATATGTATAGATGTACTGTACATATGTGCATGTTAAGATGCTACACCATGAGCACTTCTTGACATTCAGCGCTGCACGGCTGAGCCAACCGCCTTGCTGCCAAGGGTAAGATCCGGAAGCGGGGTCTCTTGCGGGACACTGCCCTTCTTGCACAAACAGGCAACTGATGGTGTCGCCTTGGTTCCCTTTAGGCTCGCCAATCTGCTTTACCGAACAGCAATCTCTACGTGTTTTAGCCAACCTTTGAGGTTCTAATTTTCGGGCAAAATGTTGGCGGCTGCTGATGCTCCTTGGGCTTAAAGAAGAAGCACTGCTGGTAACTCACGCTCCTGCACAAAGAACGCCTGGAGTTTCCTTACGTTTGTCACGGTGCTCTCCAAGTCGCCCGGTGGCTTGGCGAAGGGTCCCATCTGACTTGAGCGACCCGTAAGTCGAAAATTAAGAAACTCTAAGGACTGTTTCAAACATGTCGACATCATCAATCCCCAGGTATCGCATGACATTTGGAACACTTCTCCACTCATATGCCAGGGGGGGGGGGGTGGCGGGGGTGGGGGCTAGGCAGCTTTTCTGCCCCTTGAGCCAAGAGCCAGTCAAGCTGTCAAAAGTTGCTGATGCCGATCACCTTGCTTTCGGCCATGTGCCCTCCCTCATGTCATTTGCACATGAACGCTCAGGGGATCAAGTGGAATGACGTTAAGATCCAGAAACTAAGACACCTTACATTACAGCGGGCATTACAGGGAGCTAAAACAGCACACAGACGCTTTTCGATTGGTCCATGAGGTGACTTGTCCATTCCAAGAATTTCGGCCCTTAGCCTCATTGCTCCTTCGGCTTGCCCCTCAGGCGCCCCCACGACACCACAGTGACCGTGACCATGTCAGACAGCCGCGCCAGGAAGTCGCGAACCAACTCCACCTCGCCCCGTGATTGTCCGGTTCTTCTGCCCTGGAATGCAACTCTCGGTTGCTTTTTGCTCCCCTGCTAAAAGTGAATAACTGTTAGTGGTTTAATGGAAACCCCATTAGTTGGCATAGTCTCACTTCCCGAGTGGATGGCGAGAGTCATAGGAGTTGCTTTGTCCCCCCCCCCCCGGCCCCGCGGTGCATCGCCTAGTGAAAAGACATTTTTATCACCGGCACCACTGGGTCTGGGTCAGGCTGGTCCCCTGGACACATTGAAATTGGCTTAGAATAAATTGTGTGCAGAGAAAAAAAAGGCTGCCTTGGAAGGTATTGCAAGGGAAAACAGACTTAAACCAACTATGAATGCAATCCGCATTTTCGGAAACACAAAAAACCCCCAAGATGATTTCAATAAACACCCACAAATGGACATATTTGCTTCAAAGAAGGCTCTTGGCAGAATTCTTCTGGAGACGTCTTTTGGACCCAACCGTGATAAATTTCCAAACAGTGAACCCGTCGGACAGTTTTTTTTGCATGGGCCTATGAAGTTGATGTTCGATCTTTCCAAGGGCGATGCATGGTTTACAAATATATATACATATATATATATATATATTATACATATATATATATATATATATATATATCCCCCTCAAGAATCACCACACATACATCACCTTGGCCTTTTCAAACAGGTGATGCCGAAACTGGCCAAAAAGGACACATCCGGCAAGTTGGGCAAGGTACTATTTCCAAAATGGAGAGAACATGATTCCCAAGCTGGAAGTAAAGGACTCCTCCAAGTAAAGGACCTGTATCGCGGGGCTCCGAGCTTGTTGTAGCCCAAAGCACGCCGTGATGTGTGGGACCCTGCTATTTTACAGGCGTGAGCCTGAATTTCGCCCCCAACCTGTTTCAAGAGGTAGGAAGAGAGTCGAAAAAAGGCAGGGCCCCCATTCTACATTATCCAGTTTGAGGGGTCTAGACCCTTTAGCATCTAGGGGCCCTGCTCGTTCTGCGCCGCCAAAGGCTCGGTTGATCCTTGCCATGTCCTGTCAAGCGATCTAAGCTTTTCTTTGGCACACACGGGTTCCTGAGTAGGCAAGAAATCTTGAGCCCCGATTGAACCTGCTGTTCGACGTAAATGCCGGAAGGAACCCAATTCTATCAGGAGCTTTTTCTGGGTCCATGCTTCAAGTAATGAAAGGCCACAGGGCACCTTCTTGAATCGGTCTGTCCAACCTGTTGCAAGCAGGTTCGCCCAAAAGCCGAACGTCCAAAGCAAACCCTCTTGAGAACATGGAAGTGCCATTTTGAGAACGGAAGTCTCGCAAAGCTCTCAATTATCTAAATCGAAGGAAACGAAGGAAAAACATCACTTCCTTGTGCAGTGGATTAGTGGATGAGTTCAAGGCAGTTCCGCCTGTCTGGGCAGGCAAAGTGCGAGACCCTTTGGTTGGTTGATCCACTTTTGGCATGCCAGTTGAAATCCATTCCCAGCTCAAATGGAACTACCGACTGCCCGAAACCATCACTTTTGTCATAAAAAAACACGCCGCAAGAAAGAGTTGTCCCTTTGGTTTCCGTTTCAGCCAAGGTTCAACGGGCACCCTCAAATCATGTACCCCCACAAACTGAAAAAATCGTGTGCAGCTTCCGGCTCCTTTTTTCCCCTTCACTCGAAAGCACGAAATGTGTAGCAGTTGGCCAGGGTGCTTCAGGGTTCGGCCCCTGCGCCCAGGAACCAAAAACCGCAACGTGGTATGGTTCGCGGCCATTTGCTCCCCGCACCTCTACTAGCTGAACTGGTATGGACCTTTCCGTACCTACCTCGCCAAGGAAGCTGGGACAGGCGGCCGAACCCATGGACCCCGTGACCGACGTGAGACCAGCGCTATCCCAGGGCCAGTTGCCGTTGAGCAATCGGCGCTTGGAGCCTAGTAGGTATAGCTAAAGCGAGACAGGGTGCCAACGATGCAAGTCCACAAGTTGAAAAGGGGCCTTGCTTTTCAAAGTGCTTGCATTCAGGGGCGTGCCATCTCAGCCAGCTTTGGATTTCATTGGGGGAAGATCCTCGGTACTCGTTTCCTTTTCCCACCCCTTTTGTATCAGTGAACCACGGTGCCGTTTCGCAGTCCCAACAGGAAAAGAAGCAAGGGAGCAGCAAAACTCACGAAACAAGGTTGCGAATCCATTGCAATGTGCCACGCTTGCCCAATGCCTCCCATGCTGCACCGTTCGTCTTCGACGTTGAAAACACTCCAGGCGGAAGATTTGGAACCCCACACTATGGGTTCGCTCACTTAGTGGTTCTCGGGAAGGAATCAGCAGGGTTTTGGGCATACCAATGGATCCCATTAACAAAGCCATAGATGACAATTTGCAGGGGTCATTCCCTCATTCCCCGAGATCCAGCAAGTTAGACCCTGCCAGGATTTCGCCGTTAAAACCGCTTTCACTTCTTCGTCACAAGGCAGGAGAAAGATCTGCCGGGACCCCCTCGCTCGGCGACATCCATGAAGAACCTGGGACACCACACATGAGCGTGTGAGTGTGAGTGTGCTCATTTTTCTTGAGGGGACCCTTTTCATTTTGTTTAAAAGGCGAACCCAACGGAAGCCACAGCTTTTGAGCTTTTCACCCCTTGCAACTCCATACCAAAAGGAACGCGACTAATTAACCATGGCCCACATGGCGATGTGTAAACCATCCAAAAGCCGTACTCAAAAGGTTTCGAACATTGGCTTTGGCACAGCCAGTCTTTGCTAACATTTCGTGTGGAGCAACCAGATAACAAGGCCATTCCACGCCAGGGCATGTGAGTCTACCCACGGCAGTTTCCACAGTCACTTCTATCCGCGGCATTTTCCCAAGTCACTTTGGTATGAATTGAACCTTAACTGCGGACGCTTTGGCGGGCATCATTTCTATGAACCGTGTTTATCCAGCAAGCACTTCTGAGCGTGTTCGGTTTGAAGGTTCCTGTTGCAGCCGCGAGCGCCAACCAAAGAAACAACGTGTTGTGGAGTTGATGCGACCCAAGGCTTCTGGAGGCGCCCGTCGCCAAACGTGGCGTCCTTTGGAGTTGGTCTACCACAAGGGCGTGATAGTGTATATGGCGCACATTGAGAAAGACCTTTTGCGGCTCCGCAATCGAGCAAAAAAACATGTCCCCCAATCAAACAATAGCCACTGTCTTCATAACCAAAGGCACCTACTTTTTAGTTGCTGTTCAACAGGAAAAACAAGGGGGGACAAAAGGAAGCGGTTTGGAAGGCAGCAACAACGGAAATGTGAATTCACATTTGAGACTGCATACTCGCTCCAAGGAGCTCAGTCCGGGTCTTCAGAGCCTCGATGACTTCGTCATCAATGGCCAAGTCTGTCCTGAATGCAACAAACACGGCCGGCGGAATTCGGATCCCTCCATGAAGACATGCAGAAATGGGATTGTCCCAGGTTTGTCCCTAAATCGGAGACCCCCCCTCATAATGCGCGCGGCCAACGGAAGTTTGGAAGCAACTTCCAACAGAACACGGACACTAATTGACAGTAGGTCTCCGCAAAAGACAAACAAGAAAGAGAAAGATAAAGAGAAAGGGAAACAAGATGAACAGACTGATATAAGAAAATAATGGGAGGGAGAGAACGCAAGAAGTATGTATAAATCTTACATCATTGAAACTTCCACTTCCCCGCGCGCTGCTGGTGCTCTTTTTCTTCGCTCTCTCTCTCTCTCTCTCTCTCTCTCTTGTCTCTCTTCATGGCGGTTCAGCCGTGACACAAACAAAAGCAAGTTCTATTTAAGTGTGGCGTTTCGAAAGAGCAGGCATGGCATCTTGCGAAGCCACTGGCCACTGCGCCAAGTCTCAGTTGGCCCTTCTCCATGTGATCCTCCACGTGTGAAATGTACCTGCGAAGTTGGGTTGCGCGAAATGCGCGGGATTCCCTACTCCGCAAGCCTTTGTGCGAAACTTTTTCTGGTGGGACCCCACTGCTACAAGGGAAGCCGCTACCAGGCATAAGGATTAGGGATCTATCTTGACTTGAACAACCCTGGCCCAGCCACCAGCGAAGCTGGCTGACCTGGAACTTGCGGCCAGGCCCAAAGACAGACTGCCAAAAGCACGCAAACCTAGCAAACAATTAAAACAAGGAAAGCCCACATGAACAAGAATAAGGAGCAAACACATTGGGACACAAAAGCCCACCCACCCACCCGGCCAGCCACCCGGCCAGCCACCCGGCCAGCCAGCCAGCCAGCCAGCCAGCCAGCCAGCCAGCCATCATTTGCATTGGTCAAAGCCAAACCTATGGCAATTGCCAGTGCAATTTCAAGAGTGGCAAATTGAGGCATTGTCTCGCGTGCTGTATTTTGCAGCACTTTTATCTTGTTTTCTGCTGCCACACTTCCCGGGCAGCTGTTTGTTGTTTTTCTTTTTCGGCTGCCGTTCTTGCCTGTCTGAGCTTCTTGTTCTTCTTTGGGAACATGTCCATCGGCTTTCAGGTGGCTTGAACATGTTTATCGACTCAAGCCAATGCAAGTTGACCATCGCAACCGTTGGGTTCTGGTGGCTCTGACAAGGCAGCCTGCACACACAACAGACTTGTGGGCATGATGCCCAAGTGCCACAGTCAGCTCAAATGTCATTGCGCTTCGGTGTATGTCCGTCTATGTGCCTATGTGCGGTCAGTCTGTTTGCGCGAGAAATGCGGCCTGTGCATGGACTGCGTGTGCAAGGTGCTGTGTGTCTGTCTGCGTGTGTCTGCATTTGCTGACGCAAAGTCAACATGATTGAAAACACCCAACCACCCACCCCACCCCTGGCCCCCAACCCCAAAAAGTAACTTGAGAGCACGCCGTGAGCACTTTTTCATACCACGTGCAAAAGACACACACACACACACGCTCACACACACACACAACCGCAAAAAACACGGAAACACACATTCACACAATACACGGAAACGCGGAGCGCGATCGACCTCTCCCTTCGATGCGGGGCTGCATCTTAAGAACTCCAGTGTGGATCCGTTTATGACTGACATGCTAGCGCCAGCTCTAAGCGCACTAAAAGGCACACCAGTGTGCCATAGCATGCGTTCGAGGTCTGGGATTCTGGGACTCGCCTTTCCTCTGTGGCACTTTGAAAAAGAAATCCGTCTCCATGGCTCGTTCTTCACTTACCTCCCTGCAAGGCAAGTGTGGAACCGAAACCGGGGCTCCCTGAAAGGGGATTCCTCTAACAATGCTGCTTCCATGAATCAATGCAGATGTGGGCAAAGCGGGCGAAAGAGTGCCTGACAAGTGTGACAGTTGAGTTGTCCAACATCTTTCCAGGAGAGTTGGGCTGTCCAAACCCGAAGGGTTCCGCAAAGGATGGGCACTTGAAATGTCAACTCGGCACCTGGCAGGCCCAAAGATGTCTGTTTGTGGCTGCCTTTTTGTGGGACAATCGGGGGAACCCACGGCAACTGAGCGGGGGCACAGCAGCCCAAAGATCTGCAGGAATTTGAAGGTAGAGCCTGGCAAAACCGCCAGGTTTTGGTTTTAAGGTGAATCCCGGCGAAGTGCTTCAAGTAGGCCGGCGGCTTGCTGGTTGCAGGGTGCTCCTTAAGGGTATTCAAGGGTGTCCTTGAATCATTGCTCGGCCGTGTGAGAGGGTGAGAGGTTGGCAATTGGCCTGCAAGGCACCCTAGGTCTACGTGGAACCCCTGTGACCAACCAACTAATCCTTCATTTTTGTGGGAGAACAACCGCACAAAAGGGAGTTCTTGAACAGAGGGATCTTGTGGAATGCCTTTGAACCCAACACGCCAGGAATGACACCCCACACCAGGCATGCAAGCTCGCTTCGGTTTGCGCCTGGGTATTTCTCCAATAAACCCGTGAGGATTTCGGACAGACCGACCCTAAGAACCCCGAGCGAGCTGCAAGCTCAAAGTCGGCCCAAAGCATCGGCCCAAGATTTGGGCACATCTGACCTCGAGGAGAAACCTGCAAATGAACACCATCTAGAAAAGGAGGCCCTCTCCGGCGACATATTCTTAT